ATTTCTGTTTCAGGTTGATGTAATAGGTATACATGTTCCAAAGCATGCCTACATCCCATTTGCCAAGGTAACATGCAACAAGACTTGGGTGAAGTACCTACACAACTTTTGAAAGTAGCATGTGGAAATTTTAAACAGTGGTCTTGTAGGCTCGATGGACTCAATACCTATAATTCATCCTCTGACAGTACCTCCCACTAAAACTGAGCAAGTCCCTCAGTAATGTAGCTCCATTTCCTTGCTAGTAACACCAGCATCACGTGTCTCACACAACCACTTGGCCTTTGCGAAGTGCTTAGTGGAAGAAACTGAACAAAAATGACTAAATTTGTTTTCTATCATTTACTGTTCCTTCATAGTTTAAGAACATAAGACATGCCATAATAGGTTAGAGCAGTGGTCTACCTAACCCAGTAACCTGTCTACAACAGTAGGAGTGGGTGATTTAGAGCAGTGGCACCGGACCTTTTCAGCCCACAGGATGGATGAGCAGTGCCAGATCCACCCACAGGTCAGATCTGGTCCATGCGCCCAATCCGGTTTATGATGCTTGTCCAGCCAGGGCTTGATATAGCTGCATGAGAACGGCCCAATCCCAGCTGCATGAGAATGGCCTGTCTCGGTTCTGATCTCCTGTGGTTGCACCTGCCCCTGGGTAGGCTTTTTCTGCATAGCTGGATTGAGCCCCAGCTTGATTCAGCCACACAGGAATGGGTCCAATCCCTCTGAGTGGAGCCAGCCCAGCCAGGGCCGATCCAGCTGCATGGGGCTTGGAAACCTACGGGGGTGGGGGCAGGGGGAGGAGGTGGTAGTGTTAATTGCCACTGCATCCTTACTTCCAAAATTGACTAAGTTGCCATCTTTTAATTTCTTCCCAGAACGCAAAGTATTTTTAGGTTCATAAGATGAAGCTCTTACCTATAAACATTAATCTACCTCATTTTACTTTATATTCTACTTACTAAGTTATCTTGCCCACCTAATATAGAAACTACTTTGCCTTCCATGAAGAAGCGTTACAAAAATAGCTGATGATGGGGTTCCTTACAGGTAGAATGCAGCCCCCCTTCAAACGTTCATTGTACACCTGAGTTTCCCATTAGATATTAAGTTGAGCTGTCTGGTGACATTTGAAAACCAGTTACCTTTTGTATAAAAGCAGAAGTTGAGGTGAAGGTGTCTGTATAGTGGACACATAGGTAGCAAGATTGCACTGGTGCTCCCTTTACTTCTCACCTCTACACATAAGTGAGGGCCATCAGAAACATTACTTGGAGAAACAGAACAGCAAGACTTGAGAATGGCTGGAGGGATTGAATTGTGTTCATAGTTGGCTCAGGTCCCAAGGCTCCTGAAGTCGGGCATTCAGCCTTAACTGCTGAATAGGCAATAGCCTGAGCTTATTTGGAAAAAGTCATTGAGCAGCCTCTGCTTGAAGAATGGAGGGTAGACATGAACTTCAGAAGAAATGGCTAAACCAACACCTGTTGGAGACAGTCAGGAATTGCTGGAGTGGTGATTGCACAAAGAATGTCACCCATGAAGGGAATTTGCTTCCAGCTGACAAAGGTGTTGGCAACTAGTGAAAGGTACACTTCCAACAGTGACTGCTGAATGATCCTGAAGTCAGCACAAGTGGTGGCCATTTAGTTAATGCCAGGGCTTTGCTAAAATGAAATCCATAGAGTAGATGGGAAACCTTGAATCATTCTCTCTGTCTGGCACCAAGTGCTATAGAGCTGTATGACACCTCCATCCACTTCTGTATCATCACACCGACTGAGGTAATGAAACAGGACCAGAACTTTTTGCTTGTGGGCTGGTACTATTGAATGCAGGTACCAGAGCTCAAGCAGACTGTCCCACTGGTATTGTTAGGACTGGGTGAAACTTGTCCCATTGGGCTATGTGCCATATCATTGTGTGTGGGTGCCACATCCCAGTGACTTTATAGCACTAGTGCTAGTGGTGGGCTTGATGCATGAAGCTGGAAGTTAAAATGTGCAAGTAAGACCTAGCAACCTTCCTCTAAAGAGCTCACAACTATTTGTTCTTGCATGAAACCTCTGTGTTGATGAGAGATTCCTGAAAATAAACCCAGACTGATAATAGCTAGGACAAACAAAATTACCAACTGGGAAACAAATTAGTATGTTTAGAAAGGTTTTTCTTTACTGGATAGCTCAGGAGAAAGTGTGGAAACTGCCTGTTGCTGCCGCAAGGAGACAGATCAAAATTCATTTCTTCATCCCTTAAAAAGGGACCTATGGTCCTTTTTGATAACTGACAGCTGATTTTTGTGTCTCAGGCTGCAATCATAAGTAAATACCAATTTGGGAAATTAATCCTGGATATCAGATATCAAGCTGGATGCAGGGTAAGTGCTATCACGGCACAATAAGTGATTTGGGAAAAGCAATATTCAGGGTAGGTTTACAATGATATTTAGGGGATGGCCCTGAGAGTCACTCTTACCTAGCCCAAGCCATGTGAGCCACCCTTTCTCATCTATATCTTACCTCAAAGCTTATATAAAGGCTGCCCACATTGTGTTTCCCATTTCTTAAGCAGAACCCTTCTAGGAATCAGTCAGTAGACTTGTGCATGGCTCTAACAGGAAGCAAAGTGCTGAAGAGCCAGAAATCAAGTAAAGAAAGTTGTGAGATTGCTGCTGGTGGATTTCTTGTGCATGCAACCTGCAGCACTCAGGTGAGTGCCAAACATGCTGCAGGGAGGAATGGGTTAAAAGGCAGGTTCAACCCTGAAGCTCAGCAATTTCCAGGATGAGCATGGACAGCTGTCAGGGGAGCTTATGGGTTTTCAATGTAGATGGATCAGCAGTAGGTTTGGGCCTCAGGGCAGCCTTATGGAATGTACCCATAAAAAGGAGTACAGGCATACCTCGTTTTATTGTGCTTCACTTTATTGCGCTTCGCAGATATTGCGTTTTACAAATTGAAGGTTTGTGGCAACCCTGCATCGAGCAAGTCTATCGGCGCCATTTTTCCATCAGCGCCATTTTTCCAACAGCATTTGCTCACTTCGTGTCTCTGTGTCGCGTTTTGGTAATTCTCGCAATATTTCAAACTTTTTCATTATTATTATATTTGTTATGGTGATCTGTGATCTTTGATGTTATTATTGTAATTGTTTTGGGGTGCCACGAACCGCACCCATATGAGACGGCGAACTTAATCGATAAATGTTGTGTGTGTTCTGACTGCTCCACCGACCGGCCGTTCCCTCATCTCTCTCCCTCTTCTTGGGCCTCCCTTGTCCCTGAGACACAACAATATTGAAATTAGGCCAGTTAATAACCCTACAATGGCCTCTAAGTGTTCAAATGAAAGGAAGAGTCGCACGTCTCTCACTTTAAATCAAAAGCTAGAAATGATTAAGCTTAGTGAGGAA